TTCTTGTATTTTTCCTTTCTTATCAAGTTTAATATGGCAGAGACATTTCTATTTTCGTGCTTATTACAGCAAAACATTTTTGTAACCTCATCAGACCCGAATAACAATTTCGTTTATTCTAATAAGTTATCTTTCCAGCATGGTGTCTATAATTTGAATTTTGTGAATTTAACACTCAGGTGTTTTGACCGTTTTACGTAATTGGTAAAGTTCTGATTTCAAAGTAGGATTATCAACATTATTCAACTTTTCCTTTTATATTAAATTTCGATAGATGAACTGATGTTTGATTCGAATAAAAGCATCTTACTGAATTAATGTGATGGAAGTATTACAAATTTAAGGCTGGGCAGATTCTTCGAATAAGCGAAATAGTTTTAACCAGTGTTCTGCCATAGGCTTACCGTGTTGCAAACTACCGATGGGACAAATTTTTGTCCTGACATCAGTTGTTCGAACAAGTAATAGACTACTGGGTAGGGGTAGGGGTGTCCCAAGTATTCTTATTCGGGGTGGGGGAAGAGGAGCATAAGTTCTCATAACTCAGTTGCTAAACCATTGAAGCGCTAACGAACACTATGGGCTCTTTTCCCGCTAAAGCCCTGAATTTTTTTTTCTGGTCAATTTGCAGTTGCTTAAAACGTAATTACAGCTGCGACGATCATATCTTTATTAAAACTGGAATAGCTTCCAGTTCAGTGAAGTTGCTTTGAGTTCAAGCACAAAACTTTTCCTCTTCCACTTTCTCTCTTCTTTCTCTTTGTCAATGATAGCAGCTGGTAAGTCCGACAGAAGATGGAGCAGTGACCCTCTAAGAGGTAAGTCGTCGGCTTATAAAATCTGTTAGGATTTCATCAACAGAGAGCGAGAAAAATCAAACCAAACCACTTAACTGGTGTCTCGACGACCAATGATGAGAGCAAACAAGCCTAACTTAATTCTCCCCCAAGTGCATTCATTCGCATTTGCTTGCCATTTTCTTCTGGATGCTGGTGAAGTAACCTTTGATTATGTGGTGTTTACAGACTAAACTTAAATTTATTATGAAAAGATACTTTTTTCGAGTTTACCTGTGATGTCAAGGTTTATAAATTTTGCGTCGTCAAGATAAGTGGTATGAATGAGTTATGCAATGCTTTCTCGTACTATACCCTGAATATCCCACCATCGACTTGATTTTTCTTTATATACATGGTTACTCACACCTTAACGTTAATATATTAAGACAAATCAATTTAAGTCACTCGTCAAATATTTTACTTTGAAACACTCGGAAGCTGAATAACAAGTAAAGTCGAACCTAAGCCACTTTCTTCTGTCCCCAAGGTGGCCATTGTAGAGTGGTTCGACCGTATGCAGACCTTAAAAATCGACTTTACTATGTTCAAACAAAACTCAAGTGAAACCATGAGCCAATGCGAGTGGTTTAAATGCAAAGTATTGAACATTTTGATATTAAATTACTTTTTGCCGACAGTAATACAGCCTCGTGCAAAATATTTTGAGCTGTTTAGCCTTCTGTGATTGGGACGGGTATGGAAAAAAAAACCCTTATTGCTTTCAAGGTGTTGTGAAGGCAACCGAGCCCTATTTTCGTGATACTACCAGTTGCATACCGCCTGAATGGAAGTTGGGCTGGGGTTTGTTCTGATAATAAGCCAAAAAATAAAATGTTTATTTTTTATTCTGCCTCGGAATCTGCTGCAGACATTATTTCAAGCATCTAGATAATGGCTAAAAAATCATGATTAACTAATCTGTTTGATGTTGTTTGTTGAATCCTACAAGTGCGGTACATCATTTTAACTGAGATTATTCACGTGTTGAAAGTTGTTGCCATTGTGATTAGTGCGCACTTTAACCCTTCAAGATTGCTTTGATCGTTTACGTTCCATATGGAACGATGCATATTTTCCTTCCTGGACCCACTTAGCGTTCAGTTTAAGTTAATAAATCGGTAAACAATAACATCAGGAAAGATAAATATTTCCAGTGATGCCTTGTTTTGAATATTCTGACCAATCCTAACAGAGTTACACTCACGAAAAAAGGTAACATTCTGGGGAAAAATTCAGTGCCAATTTTGCTGTTTACCTACTACTCTTTGAAGATTCGCTTTGGCCTTTCCTAAAAAGTTGACCAGCCACAATTCACAATTCCATGTAAAAGATAGACGATAAAGTGGATAACAAAACTGCCAATAAGAAGAAAGGAAAGGAAGGTTAAGAAAGGAGAGAGAGAAAGATCGAAAAAGATCGCCCAAAAACTTGGCTTCTGCGCATGCGTGAAAAACGAAAAAGCCGTTTAATTACCTCCAGTTAGTCGGAAAATATGCCTTTTTTGTTGCAAAGTTTATTTGTAGCCATTTTTATGCTAATTTTTCGAAAACCAGTCCAAAGAAGAGGATTTGGTGAAAAATGCGGTTTTTTTCGCTAATTGCCGGCCGTCACCAAAGGATTAACTTATCAAAGATTTCGGTGGTCAGTCACTTTTTGGGTGCTAAGGTGTCCCCTGAATGAAGGTTGAATCCGGGTTTCGGGACCTAGAAAAAGTGTCCCTTTCCCCTGAATAGAGGTGTCCCTTCAATAGAGGTAACAAATGCAAAGACTGTGTGAACATTTTTCGGAGACCAAATTTTGTGATCCCTGAATGGAGGTTTCCCTTAAATAAAGGTGTCTCAAAGAAGACGGTCCACTGTACATTCAAACAGATCTTTAGTTTTGTTTCTAGACATCGGTACATTTTTAAACCTCACTCGTCGATCATAGTTTGTGAATTTCGATCCTAAGTATTGTCAAAAACGCATTCGTTTTTTGTTCCTTTCTCTAACGAACACCCTAATTCTTTTGAGGGAAAGATGAAGCTTAAACTGATTTGTTTTAACAGAGATTGGTAATATTTGATATTTGTCTCCTAGCAAGTAAAAGAAGATCTGGCTCCAAACGTCATTTCCGCCCCAAGACGACTTATATAGGTAATTAATCGTATTTCATACAGTACAGTATTGTCGTTTTTACAGAACAAAGCGGTCAAATTCTACCCACTTCTTTACTGGGATTGTAACTAGATACTCTTTTCTTTTCTTTCTAGACAGCACAAGTTTCGATCTTCAAGCTCTTGATGCAGGTATTTCATTGTATTGCCAGTTAGCCTTTTTTCGTCCAAAGTACTCCAAGTTCAAATACTTGTAAATCAAAAAGCTTTTCCACATCTCACTTCAGTGTGCAGGGGAGTAGCCAGAAGAATTTTTCAAAGGGGGGGGGGGGAGGGGGTCACAGAGGCTACTCACAAGATTGTCATGTCGACCTCCAAGCCCATATTAACTAAAGACAAGAGCCGTTGACGAAAATACTTTCCAAAAAAACAGATTTTAAAAAAGGTGGGCTTTTCAACAATGGCTTTTACGGCCAAGATATTGTCATGGCGTTTTCGGCACCTGAATATTGTAGCCTTGTTTGCTCAAAAGAAGGCCTACCAAGGGGGGGTCACGGGCACCCCAGGACTTCCCCTAGCTACGCCCCTGGTGTGTATGCATAATGAAAATGAAATGAAGTCAAAACTTAGGTGCACTATTTCAAGCAAATCACTGTCTTTTTTGGTTAATCCCAACCTCGAGTCGGTGCCTTTGTTCAAGTAAATGGGGGAAAGGCCCATTCCCATAATAACAATTAATTATACATTATTATTAGTCAACAACACAAGTTCATCAATTTTCCTTTTTATGCTATTTTAATGCATATTTTATATGTTAATTGATGAATTTATTAGATAGTTCAAACGACCATGTTGAGGCCAAAGCACTTAAATGCATTTGCTCAGAATCTAAAAACATGATTGTGCATCTTTTTTCTAGAGCCAGCCGCTTGAAAATGTTCACTGCACGGCTGCTGCGAGTCTTCCTAGCGACAATTCTATCCGCTCTCTTCTGCAATGTCCCTTTTTTCTGATTATCTCTCTTACCACGGCATCCATATTGCACCAAATCAGTTTGTCAAGAAATTTCCTACCAATTTCTCCATTTATTTCCAGTCACGAAGATTCCAAACGGAAAAAACAGCCGTTGTCAAAGAAACCCTTTCCAGAAAAGAGTTGTGTTCTATTGTCTTTATTGTTCCAAACGAGTTAAACCAACTAAAAATAGCTCATGATCTTGACTAATTGAGATTCCACAGCAGGTTATTCAAAAGATGAAGACAAAAGCCTATGACTTCATAGGCGTTGATTTATTCCTTCGCAAGTAATGAGATTCCTCTGCATTCATTAATGAGATAAGGAAAAAAAGGCTATGACGTCTTCGACGTTAATGTATCCACCTCAAATTAATGGGATTGCTCCTTAGAGAGGGTTCGTTCGGTCGCCTTACAATACTAACACTCGGGACTAAATTCTTTTAACTACTTCATAAAAAAGGTCACGAAGACACTGTGTTGAAAATGCATTCACATTGTTGTTGTTGTTGTTGTTGTTATCATTAGCATTTACGGTTATTAGAGAAACTGTTATTTCATTTTGTGTTTATAGTTCCCTCGGATATTCAGGCGCGAGGCCCTGAGGCAACTGAAGCCTACAACAATGCTCTTATGGAAGGGAAAGCATTTCTTAAAAGAGTACCAATCATGATAATTGGGCAGGCTCGAACCGGGAAAACTAGTCTAAAGAAAGAGGGGAAAAGTTCGATCCAAAGGAACAAATCACGGAAGGAATAGAGACTGACCCTTCATACTTTAAAGTTTCGACGGAAATTTGGAGAGCAGGGGAGAATGACAACAACAAAACTGATCCTGGGTCAGAGGATTTTTTCGAGCAGAATATCGCACAGTCGATATTTGGGGCATTAAAAAACGTCAAAATATCTCAGAGTCCTCCCTTAAGAAAACCAGGCAATGATAGCTCTGATACACCAATTACGGACTCAATATTGAGCCAAAGAAACAGTCATTCCTTTGAAGAAGAAATACCAGAAAGTATAGCAACAAGGGTGGAAAAACTTTTACAAAATAATGAAGATGTTGAAGAAGAGGAAGAAATATTTTCCATTTTATGGGATTTTGGTGGACAGTCCGTTTACTATGCCACCCACCCAATCTTTCTAACAGAGAAAGCGATCTACATTTTAGCTTGCGACCTAAGTCGTAATCCCCACGACAAAGCAGACACTCTAGTCAGAAAAGGACTCTATAGGAACAAAGAAGACATTTGCAACAAGACAAACCTAGACTACCTTGATTTTTGGCTGTCATCTGTGTATTCTTTGGTCGGTCCAGATGCTATTGGCCAGGACACCTCTCCGTCAGACACCACAACTGCGAGATTGCCCCCAGTTTTTTTTGTGTGTACTCACGCCGATGAACCCTACTGTAGTACCACTGATCCTAGAGATCTGGCGGTCGATATCTATGGATTTCTCCGAAGCAAGCCTTATAAAAGCCATTTGTTTAAGGATGTTTTTGTTGTCGACAACACGAAATCAGGAAGCCGAAATGGTTGTCCAGAGGTAACACGCCTCAGAGAAAAGTTGTTGTCTGTTGCCCAAGGTCTTCCTCAGCTGAAGGAGGCAATCCCATTAAAGTGGTTAAAGTTTGAAAATATTCTTCGGCTGTTACGTGAAGACAATTGCAAATTGATGGCCATTGGCGAAGCTAGGCAGATTGCCACTGATAAGTGCGGGATCGAGCACGATGAACAGTTTCGGACTATGCTTGACTTTTTGCATGATCAAAAGGTTCTGATTCATTTTAACGAAACACAACTAAACAACTTAGTGATTTTGGACCCCCAGTGGCTCATTGATATCTTCAAGAAGGTAATCACTATTAGGCGTTACGAGTATACAGAAGACAACGTTGAACGGTTTTGGCTCAAGCTGCAGGAGACTGGTATCCTAGATGAAAGGCTTCTGGATCACGAGTGGAAACATTTGATTGATAAATACAGTAAAGAAACCTGTGGGAGCCTTATCACGATAATGGAGAGATTCAGCTTGCTCTGTCCCTGGCCATCTGACGGGGAAAACATACAATACCTTGTACCATCCATGTTGATGTCTCCCCCTACAAATGAAGTCTTGGAGCTCCTTGCTTCTGTGAGAACGCCTTCACTTTTTGTGAGGTTTGAAGTAGGCCGAGTGCCTCCAGGCTTGTTCACACGACTAGTACTCCAGTTTTACCAATGGTGTCACGAAGAGTGGAAGAGTCAGAAACAACCAGAGCTGTTCAGAAACTTTGCTCAGTTCCACATCCTTCCTGATGAAGGAACCTCTGCCATTATCATGTGCCATTCTTCCTCTATCGAAATCATTATTCACGATGGAAGCAGTATTTCGGAAGCGATATTAACAGATGTAACTGGTTTTAATCCTGGTCTGACCACAAGTCGTAAAATACATTGGCAACTGAGACTGATTCTCGAGTGTATGCGCAGAGAGTTTAGCTGGCTGAAGAACATGAAATACGAAATGTGCATCTGTTGTCCAGTGTGTTCGCAGAAAGGTTCTCCAAAATGTCTTTCTCATGACGTGCGCGGCTGTGAGTGTCTTCACTTGTTGTCAGAATCCGAGCTGCTACAATGTCAATACTGCACCCAACCTGGTTTGCGTGGAGATTGCAGAATTTGCATCAAAATGTTTGCACCTTGGTTTTCATTTGCAGGCCCTAAAGAGGGCAGGACTCCAGTTAATCAGGTGGGTTTCTATCTGTGTACATCAGTGTACAATTTATACTCCTGGAATACCACTACAACTACTAAAGCAATCTCTCAGTTTACAATCTTGGATATACGCAATGAAAGCATAAGCTATTCCAGGCTGGGCAAAAGGCATAAATCTTGTCTCCGTGACCTGAGTTAACCATAGAAGAAGATATTGTTATCGTATGTTAGAATTTAGTGCTTATGAAAATTACTTACAGAAAACAACAACAACAATTTCTTGGGGTTTTCAAATGTATATTCAGAATTCTTTTGTTGTGTATAAGATGTACAAGAAATATCGAAATAGACTTAACAAAGTTAAATAACCAGCAAAGAATAGTTATTTCAATAGTAAATTTAATGAAGCTAAAGTTAATATCAGGGCTACATCAACAAATTAAAAGAGAGTGTAGCACACACATCATTTCAAACAAAATGAACAAACAGTCACTGATCCACATTTGATAGTCGAAAATTTCAATGACTATTTTGTAAAAATAGAACCAAATCTGGCTAAAGAAATACCAACCCATCACAATTCCTTTAGAAGTTTTTTTTAAAGCAAAGATGTTCTGCTTCAGTGTTTCTAGATCCAGTAACAGATGACGAAGTTTTTAACGAGATAAAACAATTAAATGTAAATAAGTTCAGTGGCCAGATGCACTTAAAATTGCCCTTGTAGCACCAGTATATGAGGCAATGATAAGTATACTTTTTCGAATTACAGCCCAATATCCGTATTACCTTGCTTCTCTAAGATACTAGAAAAAACTATGTAGAAAAGAGCTATTAGGTTTATCAATAAGCACGATCTTTTGTCCAGATATCATTATGGATTCAGGGCAAGCCACTCTACTCAGCAACTGGCCATAGAACTTGTTGATAAATTAACACAGGCAATTGAAAGAAATAAATTTACACTTGGAATATTCTTAGATCTTTCAAAGGCATTTGATACTGTGAATCATGATCTTTTGTTAGATAAACTTGAATACTATGGATTCAGGGTGCTCTGTATTAGAATGTTTTCCTAACTAATTAAGAAATAGAAAACAAATAGTTCATTATAGATCAGTTAAGTCAAAAAGTTCCATCATTATTACTGGTGTGGTTCCCCAGGAGTGTACCTTAGGCCCCTTGTTGTTTTTAACATCTGTTAATGACTTTTCAGAAAGTTCAAGTTTGTTATCATTTTTGTTGTTTGCAGATGATACTAATTTATTCATCAGTGACAAAGATATTAAGAAATTGTGACAATGCTAATTTAGAGCTTTGTAAAGTTGCAAATTGGCTGGCTGTCAACAAGTTGTCATTAAATTTGAAGAAAACAAATTTCGTAATTTTTAGAGCAAAGACCAAAAAGCTGACAAACATCTTAAGTACAAACATCGGCAATCAGAATATTGAGCAGGTAAACACCACAAATTTCTTAAAATTGAATATTGACCAAGATCTCTCGTGGAAACACCATATTAAGAAAGTAGTAATGATAAGAGAAAGGAATAATGATAACAGCAAGGCATTTCTTACTGCTAAAAATATTGCAAACAATTTATTACGCCTTAGTTTACCCTTAGTTGACTTACTGTAATATCGTATAGGCCAGAGCGTTTCCAACAAGGCTCGAGGATATATATGATTCAAAGGAAAATCGTTAGGATTGCAACGTTTTCGAAATTTACACCGGAAACAAGGCCCGTATTCCATTTTTTGTATTTACTAACAATATATGAGTTAAACTCTTATCTTTTGGCATTATTCATGTATTCTTACTTTAGAGAACAGTATGCCGCCATCTTTTTCAGATTACTTTTCGGAGAATAATACTATTCATTCCTATAATACAAGGTCCGCGAACAAAGTATACACTAAGTATGAAAGAACTAATTATAGACGTTTCTCAGTTAGATACACAGGTGCTATGATATGGAACAGTTTGCCAAATACTTTGAAGGAAATTAAGTCATTGCAGTTGTTTAACAGAAAATTGAAATGTTTTGTTCAACAGAAATAAACTGACTCTACATAGTGGAACATATAAAGTGTAATACTCTTGCTGCTTAGTAATATACAAGGCCACCATATTCGATACGAATGCAGGGGTGGATCCAGGATTTTTTTAGGAGGAGGTGCACTCGTCTATTGCTCTACTTCAACACCAATAAACCACATAGATTTTTTTTTTTTTTTAGCAGAATACCAATTGTATTAGAAAACCGCAGGTCATCTCAGGGGAGGGTGCGCACCCCCTGCACCCTCCCCCTAGATCCGCCCCTGGAATGTTTTAAATACATAAATTAAAGAGGACCTCCCTAGAAAAGCTCAGCTCAGCTTGCAGAGATCTCCTGGCAATAGATTATGTTATAGATGTAATACATTAGTTATTAAGTGCAAATAAAAGATTGATTGATTGATATAATTTTCAATCAGCGAAGTGTATATGGATGCAGTGACGTGGGAGAAAGAATTTCTGAAACTTTCCGAGAAGATGACAACAGTGTTAAGTCACTTTACAAAGGTCAGTTGTAAATTTCCAATTCTGCGCGTTTTCTTATAATATTATACTTTTGAAATCAATTTATGATAGCAATCACTCGGAGTTTTCTATTTTAACTTGTTTCTTTGTTTTCTAGAGAAATCTCTTGCTCTTCGCCATGATGTTCTTCGGTGCATTCAGACTGAGTCGAGTGACCCCAAGGAAATTGTAGTTCAATTTCAAGAGTGTCTTCAGCTAACTCCAGCAGATCTGAAAAATCCAGAGCCCGAGACGCAGAGATGGATTCGGTATCTCGCTAATGAAGCTAAATCTCAAAACAGAAGCGAAATAATTGAGTACTTAAGGACGATAGTACCTGCCGGTACAACAGGTACGCCCGCAAAAACAACCAGGGGGACCCAACGATGGTTTCCTCCCAAATACATTAAAAACACTTTTAGGCTATCTACAATACTCGTCACAAATCGTTGAAACAGACACCGCTTCCCTTGATTTTTCTAGAAAATTATTGAGATTTACTCCTCACACTTTTGTTCTCACTGTAATGTGCCTTCTCCCTCCCCAGTGTTGAGCCACGCCTATTTTGAAGGACTGAGACCGCTGTAATACCCAAATCAACATTGGGGAAGGGGAAACGCACACAAGTGTTTCAAGATTTTTGACGAGGATTGGATTGTAGGGTATTTTTAGATATCTAGAAATGTATTCTCAGTGGCGCTATAAAGTTTGTATCTGTTCGGTCTTCCAATGGCAACTTAAGTCTTTTGGAAATCATTGGGGCTTCGGTATAACTTTGCCGAAAATTTTAGATGCAGTTTAACGTTTTACGAGAGTTACGGAATTTTGCTAATTCCTCTTTTCATCGCATTTTTGAGCCGTAATTGTTTAGATCTGAAAATGCTGGGCGTTGAAAATTTAACAATTAATGAATGAGGCTGAGTATCTTGTGAAGAGGTATCGAGATCGAGGAGGGTGTTATCCGTCGAGGCCGTAGTTGTTTTATTATTCATTCAAAATAATTCCTTGTTTAAAAACATAGCTAAAACATGCTTACCTCCATCGATGTTAAGTTCATCTTCGATAGTGCACGTTTAGGGTTGTTCAGCTCCGCAAATATTCTCCAAATAGCAGATGTCACCCTTCACCTGAGATGAGGCGTTATTATTATTTTTTTGTTGCTTCTTTGGCCCGAGAGAGAAAAAAATAACGCGTGATACATTTATTTAACAAGCCGTCAACCGCCCCCCTAATTTACATAATCTAACGTCTCCCTTGACTTGTCCTGTTATCAGCCAATCAGCGTTTACCAGACGGGATCAAAATTTGGCGGGAATAATGTCTCTTTTGAAATTAATTTTAAGGAAATTAAATTTTTAAGTACGTCCATGTTCAGATGGCGTTTCCTAAAAAAAAATTTAAATGTTTTTTTTGGGGGATGACATGGAGCTGCCGTACCTTTATTTAACAGCTACAAACAATAAAGAATTTACTGGTAAAAGCTCGTTGACTTCGTTTTGTGCCGAAAGCAGTGAAAACAAAATTGGGCTGAAGCACCATATTTCAAGAACTAAAAAGTGTCGTGGAAGCGAAGATCGCTCAGAATGATTCGCAGGTTTCTGAAGGAGGAGTTAAGGTCAAACCAGGTCAAGATTCCAACCATGAATTGATTATTTGAAAAGTGAACCCGTTTGTCGCCTCTGTAACTTGTAGCCGGTATCAAATTGCATTCAAATGATAGGTGAATTTTTGACTGCAGCTTTTAAGTATACGATGAGATGGAAAATATTTCAACGGATGAAATTTCTATTTAGACATTCTACAAATTCAAGAAAACTGAGCCGGCAGAAATTTGTTAACGAACTCGCGTGTGTATTCACTGCTCATTTATACGCAAGCAAAAATGCAGACTGAAATCAACAACAACTAACTGATGGCAGGATTTTGGCCAATCGGAACAGAGCAAATCATCCGTATTGTTTCCTATCCAATCAGAAAAAAGTCCAGATTCTGGCTTTTTTGCATGTGATCTGTAAAAGAAATGTATCATGCCCTCCTCCCGAAAGCAGATTACAGAGATAAAGGGAGAGGGTATGATCGCAGGGTAGTGGTCTTATTGCTGTTCTTTTTGTTTTTTTAGCTATTCTTTCGACGAGTTCCTACTTTTGGAACAAGTGGAATGTCCACCATTTTTCTTTTCACAACCAAAACAACTCAACCTCGTCCCCAGGTCCTCTCGGTTAACGGTGCATTAACCTGCAAGGAAGCTGTACTTTTGACGTCATCGGTTGATTAATCGCAAAATTTTTCCAAATTTGGTTATCAGTAGCTGGTTATGAATCGAATCGGGGAAGTATTTTGTAGGAATAATAATAATTAGTAACTATTCCCCGATATAACGAGCACCTTGATTATTTTTCAGAAAAACTCGTTAAATAGAGGTTTTCGATATAACGAACCCTCGATATAACGAAGAAATTTCCCCAGCCCCTTAGCACTTCGTTAAATCGAGGTTCCACTGTAACAAACCAGTATTTTCACATGTGAAGATATCATGTTTTCGCCACCTTTCGGATCTTCAAAAAATGTTCATGTTGACTTTAACCAACTTTGCAGCATGTACAGATGTAGTAGTTTGTGTTTATACTGTGTTGTTTGGTAAATAGGTCCCTTGTTGGATGAAAACCTTGATGTGCGGTGCATTCCCTTCAAGATAAGAAAGGAACTAACAGTTGAACTTTCTGGTAGGTGTTATTTGTTGTTTCCACCAAGGTTCTCACATGTTTTGCCAACATTAATCAACTTTGTTATTTAGATATGTTGATCCACACGTGGAATTGTCAAAGTAAATATCAAGACTAAGAAGATTAACAAATCGGTCTATACCGTACTCTTATCTACCATGGAGATGACGTTAAAGTGTTCAAAACTCAAGCGTTAAAATTTCTCGGAAAATCGCGTGCGCAAGAAAGAGGAAAATATTGCCCCATCACATCATTTCCATGGGCTGTAATCTTATCGAACACAGCTTTGGGTTAATCAGCGAGCGAGAAATCGTTCAGTTGCTATAAAAAGAATAATTAGTAAATGCGAGAAATAGTGAAAAGTGAAAACTTGCCGATATATGATAGTTACATATTAGTGTCTGATATACATGTCAGGTATTCAAACAACAAAAGCAACAATTGATGTACAGAAAAATGGTTCAATCGAAGGTTGAGACTCCCAAGTGAAACTCCTGAAGCGATATTTTACGGAAAAAGACAATACACAACAACAACCGATTTGCCGGCCTTGATCGTTTTGAACTTTTATACAGACCTGATGAATTCAAGTCCACAAAACTTCGTTTGCTCTAGACAAATTAAAGAAGGCTAAATAAACGCATTGGAGTTTGAAAGAACACAAGTCTTTTTAGGTGATCTTTACACTGCCATCGTCTTCGTGGTTGCTCATGCTCCCTATTTGATCCCCATACACGATTGAAAAATGTTTAATCTTCGCGTATTAAGCAATATTACCGGTAACTGAGCTTGACTTAAATTGTTTAAGTATATGCATACGAAGTGATCTCAACAGAATCAGAAAGGAAACTGTTAGCAAAAACGATTAGTTTGATTGACGGGTGAATTTATGCGTGAACATAAAAGCCGAAAACAGTAGATGCGCAGAAGTTAGATCTTAAGAGTGTCTTCACACATGGCAAATCATTACAGGCGACAAGAGGAGCCCTCAATCCTAATCTCTAGGGTGTTTTACGCATGCGTCGCATATATGTTGCCAGCATTCGTTTGGACTTCCACTAAGAATGAATGGAATGCACATAACGCAATTTGATCACGCGCGTTTGGACCTTCGATCACTCGTAATCTGATCACGCGTGTTTTGACCGTCTGTCACGTGAAACTTTCGCAAAGCACACAGTTGGAGCAGAAGCGTTTTAACCTTCGATCGTTGTCGCCCGCACTCCGTAACCTTTGGTTATTAGATTTACTAGTATAGTTTTAATCTTTTTGTAAGCTTTACCATCAATGGTTTGCAATAAAACGTGGAAAGTTTAAATTACCATTCCCTCTACCTACCCCCGCCCCCCCCCCACCATCTCTTCCAAATGCTGTCAACACCGGCTACGATCGAGGTGAGAGGAGTATCTGCAGTGTTCTTTGCCTTCTTGCTGGCATTTACAATGTTCGGAAATATTTGTCTTCTTTTGTATGAAGATATTATCGTCCGGCAGTGATGATTGTAATTTAAGCAATTGCAAATTAACCCGAAATAAAATTTCGGGACTTCAACGGGACCGGGATTCGAAACCATGGCCTCTGCTGATGTGAACTGCGCAAAATAACACAAATTTTATATGAAGTTATGATTGTCGCAGTGGCAAGTGCAATGAGCAGTCGCAAATTAACCCGAAAAAATATTTCGGGACTTCAACGGGATTCGAGCCTTCCATTTTTTCTCCATAAATTAACTTCTATTTATAGCGGAGCTCCCGCGCGCGCGAAGCACCATGGTTAAGAAAATTTGGTAAACTATCCATCCGAGAAAATTTGGTTATGACGTAGAGTACGCCCACCCGTACACACACTTCATGTAAGCCGATGTCAAATGTCACAGTAGATCTTGCACAACTTGACTAGCCTCTTAGTTATGTAAGCCATCCATATGAGTACGATTAGATTGACAGCTGTCAAAATCAGACATCCGCTGACAATTATCACATGACCATCTCGCGGGCTCAGATAAAAGACCAGTCGTTTTACCCCTATATATAAGCTGACATAATATGTCACACTTACCAATTCAACATAAAAACGAAACTACCCTGGGCAAGGCTGTCAGTTGATTGACAGTCGTTTAAAGTTACATTGGCAAGCCAAATTAAGTTCAATTGACAGCTGTCAAAATGGGACATGTGCAGACCACAATCAGAAAACTAGTAACGTGGGCTCAGGTTCGCTCAGGTACACGATCTGGCATTTTCCACTACATGCCGGACGGATATGTCCTACTCACACTTCGAATATTCGAATATTCGCCATTCTAATGAAGGTTAATTGACAGCTGTCAAACTAGAGTATACGCTGACCATCATCACCTGAGTGGATCGCGGGCTCATTTTTCTATCCATTGAGGTCACGTAGTGTTTAAAGTTTTGCGCATATATTTTATTTGATCACAGGCTCAATTCGAAGCCCCATAGCTTTATAGAAAATCTGTCCATCCTAGAAAATTCGGCAAGCACGTGACCGTACACCGACCACCCGACCTTCCGTCTGTCCGCACCACAGGCATACCAATGTTTCTGCTGACCAGTATCGCCTGACCGTATCGCGGGGTCAGGTATAGACCCTCTGAGTTCGAGTAATTTTTTGAAGGTATCCGCTGACAAGTTGCTACTTTTCAAATGATCGCAGGCTCAAGTTCAATTTTTTTAAAATGCATATGAAATAAGTCGTGTTCATTAGCCGCACTTTTAAAATGTTGATTTCGAACTGACCTCGGACACGAAAATTCAACCGGCTTTTACATTTAAATGCAGGGAAGGCAATCGCTTTTGACTTTTCTCACTGTCATGTGTTCATCACGCTCTACGTCCAATTTTTGTGTTCTGATTGGTCAAAATTTGACAGGTGAGTTTATGGGGAAAATTTATGCAGCGTCTGGAAACTTGCTTACTGATAGCTGGAGCTGACAGAGTTTTGTGTCATCTTGTGATGTTTTAAACTGTCTTTTTCTACTTGGTGTACAAAATGAAATACAGCTGCTATCAACATTGTTCTGTAATTCGTGGCTGGTTTGCTTATTGCGCTTTTTGTTGACAAATGCACCGCTTGTCAAAGTCATTGGAAATCCGATTTCGGATGGCATCGTTTTCTCACTTGAGGCGTAAGAGGGTTGAAAAGTCTCAAGCGATTCTGGAACACTTGAAGACCTTCAGAAGCAGCATCTCGACTGGTAAGCCTGAGCAATTATTGTCTTTGATGTGTTTTTTTTTCGGTTTCCTGAAGTCGAGCGTATGTTTTATGCGGCTTAAGTTTATACACGAGCAATTATCTAACCTACAATAGTATCAGGTTTAAAAAGCCTTTAGACACTTTTTGACCCGCAAATTCAAAGAAAAGGTTCCGAAGATTATTTAGTAATGATTTTGGCAGTAAACAGAAAGCTCTGATGGATTTTCTTGCCTCGAGTTCATCTTGAAAAAGAGAAAACACCGGGAAGCCGGCTTAAAACATAAATAAGCTTATGCTTACCTGACTCATGATTTTCTGAGACACTTTACTCGCAATACTTCTCTTCGTGAATGAAAATTATTGCCTCTGTACATGTTTCACCGAATTAAATTTATTTTATTGATTGTTAGTAGTCCCTCTCGCAATTTTTATCGCTGCACCGGTTTTTTATTTTTAATTTCCAGTCGAACATAAACATCGCTTGCAAGAATACTCAAAACGCCGCGCGTAAATATCACTCGCTTTTAAAGATTACACATAAAAAAATCATGCACAGTTTAATGAATAAAGGAGAGTAAAGCCTAAACATAACAATTTCTCTATCATGTTGAAGCGTGAATGGTAACTTTTTGACCCGCAAATTCAAAGAAAAGGTTCCGAGGATTATTTAGTTATGATTTTGGCAGTAAACAGAAAGCTCTGATGGATTTTCTTGCCTCGAGTTCATCTTGAAAAAGAGAAAACACCGGGAAGCCGGCTTAAAACATAAATAAGCTTATGCTTACCTGACTCATGATTTTCTGAGACACTTTACTCTCAATACTTCTCTTCGTCAATGAAAATTATTGCCTCTGTACATGTTTCACCGAATTAAATTTATTTTATTGATTGTTAGTAGTCCCTCTCGCAATTTTTATCGCTGCACCGGTTTTTTTTTTTTAATTTCCAGTCGAACATAAACATCGCATGCACGAATACTCAAAACGCCGCGCGTAAATATCACTCGCTTTTAAAGATTACACATAAAAAAATCATGCACAGTTTAATGAATAAAGGGAAGTAAAACCTAAACATAACAATTTCTCTATCATGTTGAAGCGTGAATGGTAACTCTATTAATCGCACTGCAAATTTGGTGCCTGTCAAAAGTGAGAACCCGTCCGGCTTGCCGAAAAGTTATTTGGGAATTTTTTTTTATCGTTTTCATTAAAAGCCCATAATTATTACCCTGCATATCTAGGACCAGATTTTTCTAACTGAAAAGTCCCGGCATTATAGAATTCTTTTCATGAAAACGTTTTACAATTCAATGCTATAATTTGTTGTGCAAACGAAGCGCGTGCTTGTTCGTTGTGGATATTGAATGAGTGCAAATTCTCTTGCAAAATTGTGAAAAACTGCAGAATTATAGGTTTAAATAGAGCAAAAAAGAACAAATTCTGTCCGAGGTCTGTATGATAAAAAAAGGGCCTCATAGTACTGTTTACCTGAGACGTGATGAGAAAAAGTATGTTTAAAAGGCGGGTTTACACGCCACCAGATTCGTCGCCAAGATTTACTAGTAAACTAAACTTTTCGAACACAAAAAATCCGGCCTGATTTTTTTATTTTGGCCTCCCTTTTAGACAGAGGAATGCAACCTGTAAATTGGCTGCCACCAAGGACTATCGTGGCGCGTGTGTTTCTTAAAATTATAATTCGAGGTTATCCAATTATCCATAGTCACATTATGATGCAACAGCTAATGCAAATACAATACACGAATAGGTCTATTTGTTTTCCAGGCCTAATCTACTGTGATCGAACATGATTGCTATTTTTCGGTGTACAAATAAGACTATTTAATAACTCGATGTAAAATTTGTTGCACTCTTAGACGGTCAAATTCTGATTTTTCTCTAAAATCACTCAGCCTTTGCCTCAAAAGTCAAATGAATGTGCCCTGATCTGTGGATTACAATTGCAAGTTTATTGTTTGATTTAAATTATGAATTTATTAACGGGAGCTTCGCTTTTAGCCCTGGCTAAATCTATATATTAGGCAAAATTGGTCTTGCGAGGAAATCCTGTGTTCTCAAAAAAATGACAAAGCAACCTCGTTTTCCTCTTTAGTGATTAATATTGCTTCGAGCGTATAAAAAGTCTGCTACAGTAAATCACTTCATAATAAATCAAGCTGTTCAAACACCATGACATCTTTTCTTACCCTCAAAATCGTCAACACCAGGATATTCTTGTATTTTCCAAAAAAACTCTGAAAATTTGTTAAAACACCCAGTTCACGACTGCGATTTCGTTTTGCTTTATATTTACCCCCCTAGCGCGTTGAATATTTAACAATTATTCCTTGAGCCCGAATGAGCTCTGAATGATCAATAGCCCATGAGGCCGAAGACCGAATGGGCCATTGACTCAGAGGCCATGAGGGCGCTAGTAAAATCCAACTAGTTGGTCAAAGATATCGAGAATAAAAAAAAATAGCTAGTTAAAGCTGGACTTTAATCCTTTTTTGCCGCCAGAATGCCGGCGCTTTTCGCTACTAGTGGGCTATAATATATAGCCTAGTAGTGTAGCTCAACCAAAGAGAACGCAGCATTGATAATAAACTACTAGCTGGATTTTACTAAAACGTCATAGTCCGAGATAGCAAACCAATCAGATTGCTTGAATCACCAAGATCACTGAGTGTATTTAACAATTATCCCACGAGTACGCGTTTGATAGGAGATGGTAGATGGCCAAAGAGGCGCTTAGCGCCTCGTTGGCTATAATCATCTCATATCCCACAAGCGCGAATGGAATAATTGTTTTATTGAAACGCCCACCAAATATCGAGAATTCTTCCCGACCTTATTTGTAAAAACAACCGATTTTCAGCATGTTTTTAACTTTGAGCAGACGCGTACAGTTACCATATTTGGAGAGCATGGCATATTGGCTCATATACCATAATGTCTAAGCCAACCAGTGCTCTAGAATTGCATTATCCAATGATTCAGTTTTTAATAAATTCTGCCAGATACTTTTGTCTCTCATATTAAAGTGAACACATCGTATTTATCACCCTTACAAAAATTCAGGTTTTTCTTAGTGTTAATTCAACAAGTCTTAGATTAAAATCATAGCTAAGGCTAACTAATTCTAGACAGCAGGTCTTTCCTTACAAGCGCAACTGTTTCTTTTCATTTTTTTTAAACGTATTTCATTGACGAAGTTTGCCCTAAGAGTAAAAAGAAACTCATTGAGGGGGCTCACTTCAAATTTCCATATACTTTCGGATAAAAAAGAATCTAAAACTTTAAATTTGTTTTTTGTTACCAGGTGGAGATGAATGGAAACAGCTTGCAGAGAGCTTTGGCATGTCTTATAACGAGATCCGCTTGCTGGACAAGCGAACCTTCATTCCGTGTGACGTTGTACTTGATCTTATAGCAAATCACCGCAATTTAATCGTCGGGGAACTTTATGACAGACTGGTGAAGAGCGGACTTCCAGGATCAGCCGACTTACTGTAAATTATGATAAATTATGTTTTGTTAACAGGTCTTAACATTTTGCTTCGAGCACATTTTTTCCCGTGCAGTTGATCAGCCAGTCGATATTTAAAGAGAGGCATTTATGGAAGTTAAGAAATTAACCTGTGTTTTATATCCTCATTGCTCCCATAATGAAATAGTTTCAATGTACTTAGGGATAATTTCTTTAACGTAACTTACAGTTTTACAATAATGATACTTTTTTGTAGAATATTCATAAGAAGAAGATAGACAAGCTACATAATTCTGAACACTGCAAGCGTAGTTTTAACAGCCTATTTCAAATCACCAGCTAATGACTTTAATCTCTTGTCTATCATTTCTCCTCTGTAGTTGTGGGTTTCGTAGTTTAAGAGTGTCTGATAATTAAAATACTGATCATTATAACATTTCCATGTTGAAATTATTTTTTTGGCTAGAACGTTTACAAATGTATGTCTTTTGGCATAAAATAAGAAAAAATCCTTGAAATGTAAAACATTGATGTTGTTTTTCTTTCATTTAGACGGCAATAACGGGGTTCGGATTTCCCCCTCCACTCCACCCTCCCCTCCAGGTTTTAAGTACTGTTTATAAAAACGAGCAGGAGTGTATTGATAGCTCGCCTCGAGTTTTTACACCTTATAATACACGACTGCGAGTTTTTTTTAACGACTTCAAAATCTCTGCTAGGTCAACTAATTCTTGCACTATTATTTCGATTTTGGGTTATTCTGGTCTAAAAAATTGAACGTAAACTTCAGCCGTGTCTTTATTAGATATAAAGACGCTCATTAAATAAATTTCTGTTGTTTTTTTCTTTATGAATTATCAATGAGTTTTCGAATATGCGTGATGCCACTATAGCACTTTTGAGCCCCTTTCATACCAAACTATTAACTTGTTTAAAAACCGTTTATTAGCTAAACTCGGATTAACTTTGTTTTCTTTATAAAAGCTGCTTACTGTATGTACTTGTATTGGTGGCAAATTTAGTGCAATTATGTAACATTTTAAAGTTCATTTGAATCGTGTGTAAAAGCCTGTGTTGCCCGTGTTTTTCTTGGCTGCCAGCAGGGTTCGTATTAGCGGGTGTTTACTCAGGCGAGTTACCCCACGAAAGCGGGTTTCCTCACCTACCTAGGGGTCCCCCACCAGTAAACAGGCCCTTAGACGGAAGCTTAGTGCCCCAGGTAGGTGAGGTAACCCACTTTCCTGGAGTAACCCGCCTGTCCATATAATACTTAATTTTAATCTGATCACGTTTACATGATAGGTGGGGTGACCCGACACACGTTACCTCACCTATCAGGGGTCCTCTACCTCCAGATGAACAGGCCTTTAGACGGAAGCTTAGTGCCGGACCCAAACGTGCCGTTTTTAGGGCCTGTTTACAAAGAGGTGGGGCACCCCAGGTAGGTGAGGCAAATTCCAAAATATATAAAATTTCAGAAAGTCCACAGTAACAAACCAAGGAGTGGCGCCGGATCTCCCAGTGGTAGACCTGGATCAGTACAATTAAACTTGTAGAAAAATATGAAACGGCAAACTGATCCTTAAGGCAAGGCGATGAAGAAGTAAACAAAAGAATAAAAGAAAAAAATATATATATTTAAACAAATTTTCTTTTATTCTTTTGTTTACTTCTTCATCGCCTTGCCTTAAGGATCAGTTTGCCCTTACATATTTTTCTATAGGTTAGGTAATAACCCGCCTGTCCATACCTGATGCCTCATTTTAATTTGATCGCTTTTACATGATAGGTGGGGTGACCAGCCGCATCTTACCTCACATATCTGGGGTCCCCCACCTCCAGATAAACAGGCCCTAATAAGAGAGAGTTGACTGTATTGCCAGTTTTCAAACCGAAGAGGACCGGGTATGAGCCCGTATAATATGGGATTGTCAACATAAGATCTGCATAACTAGAGAGAGCACGCCGGCGCGAGCCGTTTACAAAATCCCCAGCAAATAACGCAGCCTGAGAAGGTTGTTTCCTCTTGAATTAATTGAAAATGGCATCTAGACAGAACTACTTACGTCTTACTCCGAGTGGATTGAAATAGTTTTGATATTGGGACACGTGATTATTTTTGTAGCAGTCTGCCTTTCTAAATACTTGAAAATTCACGGGAATATCTCAGTGATTTACAGAAGTTTGTCTTCTTTAGGTCTTGGCAAGAGTCTTTAGCGGTTAAGGCTGGCATCTGGGGTATGATTTGCTTGAATTGCTTAAAAAGTTAATGAGCCGTTGATAAATGAAGCAAAAAGAGTCATACACTGAGAGCTAAATTGTATCTAGGTGAGAAACTGTTATTAAGGAGCATTGAGGTTAATAATGACGGATGTAAAACCAATAGACTTTTTTCCTTAAGGTGCGTTTTCACTTGAAGCACTCGACTGATTGAACAAAAACGTATCATACTAAGACAAGACAAGTGGGGACATATTAGGTACCGATTACATAAAGCAAATGAAAAGCTTAATCCCTAGGTGAAAATGCATTTTTTTATCAGGGCTGATATGGCTTTCCTATTGAAAACTTGCTCCACTTTCATACCAAAGATGTTTTCTTTGGCCCATTTTCAGTCCATTTTCCAATTTTACAGTGTCGTTTTCCATTTTCAGACCTTAAACACCAGATTAAGATTCTCAATCAAGCAAAACGGAGAAGTAACCTTGCACTAAACTGATTCTCTTTTAGTAATTTAGGTTCGACCTTGTTCGACACTGGGATCCTACCCAAGAAACAGCCTCTTTCATTCTAGGTACGTATGACGTATTCACAGTAGGGCACGAAAAGAAAATAGTTTTAAATTTACTACGATAATAACTGAATCATTAGTGAAGGCCATGTCCACACGAATCAGCCCTCCGTCCAAACGAAACTAGTGGATCCGTGTTGAAGTCACAAATGTAATAAAGCCTTCAAATGTAATACAAATCGACCACAAATGTAATAAAACCGGCGAATGCTATCCAAACCGTATATACTCGAAAGAGCACCGCCCTCAATTTAAGCGAATGAAACTTAGCCACTCGGCGCTCTTTCGCAAAACACAACATCGGCGCCCCCGAGTAACCTTTCTTCTTTTAAGTCGAAAATCAATAAGCGCCTTGACGCTATTTCGAAAAATACTCGTTTCTCGTCCGGAGACTGGGCACTGTTTTTTTTTTTCGCTCTTTTCGATTGTTTTTTTACTATTTTCAAAGTATTTTTATTGTATTTGCAAATACGAGTATTTTATAAAACCCTTGCAAAATTTCAAAACAGGCCCGATTAAACCGCTGTTAAGATATATTTTGAAACATAACATTTACGTAGCGTTTTAAACAGGTTAAAATCGCTTTAAAATCAGTCTTAAAATATATTTAAAATATTTTTTGTACTTATATTAAACCTGTTTTTTCAAAATACGTTTAAACTATTTTTTTCCTGTTTTTTTTTCCGATTTCAGGTTAAAACGCCTTTAAAAGCAGTCAAAAAATACAACAGTTTTCTAAAATAGCTTAAAAATACATTCAAAACAGTGTTGGATTTGGTATGGGTAAGGAAAGTACTTACAGTTGAAATATACAGTCAGTATGCCATCTGCTTTAGCATGGGCCGTCATTTGGGCCGTTTTAGCTAAAACCGTGGCCCCAAAGTATTCTTACGCCTTGCGTAAAAAATTTCACAGCTGCGCCTGTTCCTTTTCGTAAATCCGGCCAAACCTTCAATGTTTGCGACCATCATTATTTTTAGTCATATTATGGCTTAAATACAGGTGTTTAGTATTTGATTGTAAAACTCCCTGAAGAAGTCTACGTTAGTTAGACGAAACGCGTAGGAGAATAAACAAGTTTTACAGCAACAGTTCGCAGAGTGCTGCTCACTAGTTTAGTTTTAAAAATTAAAAAATTAAAAATTTTAAAAATTAAAAATTAAAAATCTAAAAATTAAAAATTAAAAAAATTAAAAAATTAAAAAATTTTAAAAATTAAAAATTATTTTTCAATAACGTTTAAAACAGGTTAAAACGCCTTTAAAAGCAGTCAAAAAATACAACAGTTTTCTAAAATAGCTTAAAAATACATTCAAAACAGTGTTGGATTTGGTATGGGTAAGGAAAGTACTTACAGTTGAAATATACAGTCAGTATGCCATCTGCTTTGACATGGGCCGCATGGGATCGTTGGGTAGTGATGACGTTTCTATTGTTTGCGCCCGCAAGTAATAGATGGTTAGGATGACGTAAAACAAAAAATTCCCAGAGAAAGTTTGTGTATTATGACATCACAATAAGCGGGGGTATGTAGCGTTAATCAAAAATCCGTATTTGGGGGGCTGCAGAGTATTATGAAAAGAAGCGCTTGGTTTGCTATTTTGCATTGTCATTCTGAGGAGCAGCTGACTTCAAGGTAAGAAAAACTGAACTTTTCATCGCATCGTCTCGGTGTACTTTTTTGAAAAAGCACTATTATTTGACCACGAAAGCATAGGGTTGGTGTTTATCCGAAATATAGGGTCGAGAGACGCATGGTAAGCGTATAACTTGAAGAACTTGTCAGTCTCGCGTTCCTCATCGCATCAGCTACAAGTTTATGACTGGACGTTATAAAGATTTGTCAGAAACAAATCACTTTGAAGGATTGAAAGACTCAATCCACAAACAAGAAAGTTTTGCAAAACAAACAAGAGATCATCAAACGTTGTAGTTGCTACAATCATTTGGGTTTATATCATATTGCTTAGTCAAGATGTCAGGAGTTTGATGTGTGATCGAGTATCGTTTTCTCAGGTAGAACTTAAGCTTATACCTCTTCTAACGAAATCTTTTGCTGTACATTTTAGAAACTTCCTGGGAACTCAAACTGTTTTGTGAAAACTGTGAAAATGTTGCATATAAGGTAAGGATCCAAGTAGTTATGCTTCAGCAAACTTCTTGGATGCAAACTATTACCGGATTTAGGTACAGGTATAGGTATAGGCATATAATTAATATTGACATACCTTCCTGCATACTAATTCGGTATAGGTTTACTAATGAGCCCGGTCTTCCTTATTCAATAGAAACAATAGGCTTGCCTAGGCTTGCACGGTAAGTAACTTTAGTCCGGTTTGCCGGAACGTCTATTTGAATAATACGAATAAGACAAGCGATCACCTGGTAACGCGAGAAACGGCTTATGTCTTCTATTTAGTGCTAAAAATCGGATAGATAAACAAAACACACACACACACACACACAGAAAGTGGAGCCATTTATCGCGTTGCCAGGTGATTGCTCCTCTTATTCCTGTTTTTTAAATAGACGTTTCGGCAAACCGGACTAAAGTTACTTACTGGGCAAGCCTAGGCAAGCCTATTATTTCTATTAAATAATGGCGACGCTCATTAGTAAACCTATACCGAATTAGTATGGATGAAGGTATGTGAATATTAATGCTTTACCTACCTATACCTATACCTAAATCCGGTTAAGTTTGCTAAAACATAACTGATCCACGTTTAATATACCTGCTTTTATCTTACGTCGCTTACCTTTCATTGTGTAACATGTAGCATGGCCATCTATTCGGAACCTTGCCCCCCGCGACGCATCACTGATCATGAAGTCACACGCTCTCAGTTTACTAATAGGAAAATGTATGGAAATTATTGTTCAATCGATCCCTGAGAAAAATATGGTGGTTGAATTTCACGTTCCTCGGTAAGTTTGTTAGTTGTGACAAAAAGTTTAAATTGGAGCTAAGCGAATTGTAATCTATGCGGTTTTCACACTCAAAGATCTTAAATAGAAGTACAATTATTCGCCATAAGGACCTTTTCAGTTCGTGCAAACCACTGATCTTTTCTGCAGGCCCCCTGTTTCCATCTGAGATCAGACTCTATGGTCCTCGGTCGCAGACCGAAGACCAACTGTAATAACAATCTTTTATTAGGAAACTTTCATCACATCACTGTGGTTTTCAGAAAGGTCCCAACTTAGATTAAAAGATATCGTGCAAAAGTTTTTAAATGGCTCTTTTAACTAGATTCTATTGTTTTTTTTTCTGCATGCTTTATTTCATTCTTTTATCATTTTCAAACATTTTTTATAGTTCTTAACATATTTTTACACCTTACACACATATATATGCTAATTCTTTTAACTTTATTACTTACTTGAAAATGACCGAAGATCGGTCGAAACGTCGTTTTTTATCCGTAATTTTTACTGTGTTAAATTATACTATGTAAAGTAAAATGAAAGATACCTAGAAATAAAAATATATATATATATATAAACTAAATTAAAATTTGATAAAAAGCGGCAATTGAAATACAAAAAAGCATTAAATAAAAAAGCTGCTACAAATGCTTCGCATAAAATTCACAATGTCAGGTGCATTTCTAATTTCTTTGTCTAGATTATTCCAATCTTTCAGAGAGTGATAACACACTCTGTTTCCCCAATTTTTGGTTGAAAGGGATAGTCTAAGCATGTCTCTATTTCTTGTGTTATAATCATGAACGTTCCTCTTTGCTTGTAGCTCCATTGACTGATCCATAAGCCAGGCCATTAATACACTTGTAAACATATACACAGCGATGATAAATCTACGTTGTTCTAGGTTGAGTCACTTCCGTTACAGTTACGAGAACATCTGTAGCTGACGAATAAAGTGACCTGTTCAGGATAATTTTCGCGGCCTTGTTCTGCAAAACCAGGGGTGACAAATGGTCTTTACGAGCATTCGCGAGCATGCGAGCACTGCGATTTTTTTGCGAGCACGAGCAGAAATAAAAAATTTGTTTTGCGAGCAGCGAGCAGTTCAGACGTACAACTCGCGAGCAGCGAGCAATTCTTATATTTTCCGCTTGGAGCAATCCATATGGAAATCCTTTTCCTTAAAATAAAACAGAAAATATTTTAAAAGACGATGTGATACTCATCGCTAAGTTCAAAGAGATCAGTGGACCCTTTATTTTAGGAAAGCTTGCACAAAACCTTAAGAGAACTTCGTCTAAAGTAAAAACACACTTGTACGCAAGCGATCCCGAAGATTGTCTAATATTCAATTACGAGTTCACCGCTCAGGTAGAGAAACATCTTGTAATTGGACCAGTTTGGGAAGTGCAGTTCACAGACGAAGATTTTCATATCGAGTTTAACCAAGAGCTCTACGAAGAATGTCTCGAGCGTACAAGGGGGGTTGAAGAAAGGGACATGACTGATGTGGATGAAGAAGAACTTGAAGAGGAACAAGATCTCCGTGTCAGAACAACCTCGTCTGGAAGAATCTTAAAGCTTCCAAACCGTTTTTATTGAAAACACGGCCTAATTAAAACCCAGCGAATAGAGCGGTAGAGAAACTTAGAAGAACTCAAGGTAACAATATCCTCTCTTTTTAACCATATACAGCTAGATTCTCTAATTTATTATTTATCGTTGTCATTTATCGCGTGCAAATGAAAATTTATCGGTTTCCAGGCAATGTTTTATTTACATGTATGAAAGACTAATATGTTTATTCATCCTCTGGGAAAAAATCTTACCTTGGTGTGAAGCGCGGCCAATTCTCCTCATGCAAACCGTGCAGGGAATTGCAAACTGTACAGCGCCTTCAACAAGAGACTTTGCGATGGTTTGTGGGCCATATATATATATTCTTCAAATGCGATGAAATGAGTTAAAGTACGGCTATTTCCGTCAAAACCCTGCTAATTTTCTCCAAATATGTCTTTATACATGCAGCTTCACCATCTGCAAACAGCGTCTACCGACAGAGTTTCACGGGTAAATGCCTTAAATATAATTGTGTGGCCTATCTAGCTAATATATTTGGCGACGAATAACGCAGCAGTCTACGTAATTTATAATGAATGATGCACCACTAAAGTTTCTAGTTGTAAATAGGGTAAATGTATTTGCAATTTATTTGTCTGTTGCATAGTAATTTACCACGTGTTTTTTTTTTTTTTACCAAACTGAAAGTAAACAGTAGAAGCATAATTTCTAAATTTTTTTGCCAGAATGGGTATAATTTACAAACACTAGCATAGTTATTGGCATAATTTTAAAAATATACGAGCACGGCTAGTAGCATATTATGCTACTTTTGCGAGTACAGTCTATCAAATCCTTACTGCGGACCTCTTACAGCCCTGTCAGGCGGTGCGATCAAGTTATTTCTAGTAGAAAAAGTATTACTTTAATGTTTATTATTTCTTCGAGAGATGAATGCACGCTTTCGTGGCAAAATCTTGGTGACAGATGTTTCTGTTGGTTTTCATGTCGGTGCCCATCCGGATGGGCACTAACATGGTAGTTCCATACAAAGCTCTCTAAATTCGGGTCAATCATTTCTTTAGAACAACAACAACAAGTTTATTTTAAGATAAGCATAGCTTACAAAGCATGTGCCCGAAATTAGCAAGGGCTGTTCGAGGCGGGCACAAGAGGAAAAAGAGAAGTCTATAATAAATAAATAAATAAATAAGTAATATAATATAATATAATATATATATATATATATATATATAATTTGCACAAAAGAGAATCGTCTTCCAACAAATAAAAACTTTATTTAGTCCCAACGCTTTTCGGCTTCTACCTTCATCAGGGGTCTTTACATTGGGTTCATTAATCCATTAATGATTTCTTATTATGACGTAATAAAGAAGTGTTCGTTACTTGATTACACTAATAGATTGTGGGCGTAGATTCCTGTTCCTGACCTCTGTAACTTACGTTCTAAAACGTTATTTATGTACTTTACTTTATGTAGAGGATATTACATGGCCGCGCGGAGATACGAAATTTCTCTTCTCGTGTTGAAAAAGTATTTCACGAGTGAGCGCAGCGAACGACTGAAATATTTTTTCAACACGAGAAGAGAAATTTCGTTTCTTCAAGCGGCCTTGTAATGTTCTATTTATTATATAAACACCAATGAAATACCAAACAATTTCTCTTTAATAGTTTTATTGGTGTGAAAGGCGTGATTTATTATGTAGCCGTAGCGACGGTGATAGATAACAGTGTTCTTTTCACATGTGAAGATATCAAGTTTTCGCGCGAAAGCTCACCTGGTATTTCATTGGTGTTTATATAATGAAAAGGTATATTCGACTCTGAGTTCTAGCCCATTCTCTTATTAAGACCGTTCGGTTGCAATGTGTTCAGCTGACTTTGCCAAAATATTTCTTTAGCTCGGAGTATTTCTTTTTTCCGTTCAATTGTCATGTTACTCCGTTTGATTTGTTCAATGATCGCAATTGTGACGTTTTTGCCAAAGTCATGAGATCTGCTGTTGTGGAGAAAGTGCTCTGATAGTTCGCAAAAGTAGACTCCTCTCTTAATATGGTTCCTGTGATTATTAAGGCGCAGGTTGAAAGCTGTCTCGCTCTTCCCTACAGATTGTAATCTAAAAATTCGACACTCAATTACATATATCACAAAGGTTGATTGACAATTCACTATATGGAATATGTCAAACACCTTGCCATCCCGCCGCGTGCCCGTAAAAGTAGAGGTCTTGTTTATAAGCACGCACCAATTACATTTTGGTTTATTGCGAGGACCACAGCTACCCATTGTGGTGGTATGTCCTTCAGGGGTTCTGCCTGTTAATTTGGTACTGACGAGTATGTCGCGTAGACTTTTTGATCTCCTATATGCGATAATTGGTCGTTCTCTAAAAATGTGAGCCAGTCTTTGCTTTGATTGGAGGAAGTGCCAGTTCCTGTTCGCCACTTCAGCAATATATGAGGTACGTGGATTGTATGTGGTTACTAAGGGTATGCGGTTGGTGGTGTGCCTCTCTCTCGCCCGCAAACTCTTGTCTTGTCTCAGTGACAGAACGTTACGCATCTCAGATAGTGCCCTATCTCTTTTAAACCCACACGCCACGAATAAAATTGGAATATTCCAATATTCTTTGCTCTAGTACGCGCGTTGATGAGCATATCCTCCTTAAGTCTTAAAGCTTGGCTGTATGGTACACTTTGCTTTAAATGCGGTGGGTGCGCCGAAGTCCAATGTAGGTATGGGTGGGTATCCGTTGGTTTGTGAAAAACGTCTGTGCTGATGTTACCTTGTACATCTTTTATTACTTTTGTATTCAAGAAATTCACGGACTTGTAAGATAACACCCTTATACTTTGTGTTGGAGGGCAATTTTCCAAGTACAAGCCCCCGGGGGGCTTATATTTGGAAGGGCGATTTAACGGAGGGTTTTTTGCGTTACCGGTTTGGGGGGCATATATTTGGAGTGGCTTATTTTCGGAATTTTACGGTATACTTGAAAGTTATTTAGCCACGTTTAAGCAAATTCGGTCAGATATATATATTAAGATCGTATATCTGACTGCATTTGCCAAAACATGGCTATAGAAATCCCTCTCATATACCTTGTGACTGAGTCCTGTAGTGGAACATGGTTTCTTTTCTTTTTGATAGTTACTTTTTATTTATTTATTTTGTACCGAATATTTACTGAATAGGTTGCAGTAGAAAGACTTTGATGAGTTTCTCACTGACTATTAACCTACCATCCCCCCCAAAACGTTTTTTCATAACTTGCCATAATTCTCTCTGAATCAGCGCGCGTTTTAGATTGAAGTCGGCTCTCATAGTGGGTGACTTTGGAACGGCTTTGATTCAGACGCCGAACTTTTCATGTACCGAGCCTAATGCATGAATCATTATAACGTATTTTGCATGCAGTTTGACGGATTAATGAACATGTTTCGCCCTTTGAACTTAGTTCAACTGCAATTAAGATCGGCGTCTGAATCAGTTTATAATTAGCAGGTCTAAATAATTTGGGTCGGCCTTATAATTCGAATTAGGTTCGGCTCATAAAAAGTTCGGCGTCTGAACTGTGCCTATAATTTTTTTGGCTGCCTTGAGCAAAGTTTTCTGGAAGGCATCATAAAGCCTTATGAAGGAACAAGTCTCACGAGTGGCAACGTCTGCTTCGTCCAAAATATATCTTCTCGTATTTCGTCTCACTTCGGGCTAAACGGGTGAAAGACTGATCCCGGGCTTGAGACGGAAAGATTGGATATTGCGAGCTTTGGTTGTTGGCAGTAACAAGTCTTTGGCCTCAGAAAGTAGCTAGGTTCTAGGGGTGAAATCTATTCGGCGAGATGGAAGTTGATGCTGATTTTTGAGCAGGCCAAAGACTTAGTGAAAAATTGTTTTGAAGACGGGGGCTCCATGTGTCCTTTTCAACCGCTGGTTTACATCTGGGATCTTGAATATATCCTCTGTGTGAGTCGAGAAAAGTTCCGTTTGACTATTTATGTGGAGAAAGCGAGAGTTTTACGGAGTAATCTAACGATGTTTCTTCCCTTGTTAATTTTATGAGTGGTTTTCGGAAATGTTGTGATTGCCGCCAAAGTCATTTATTTTGTGATTTACCAAAGATGTTGACTGGTATGTGCTTGAGCTCGTGCTACCAGAAATCTTTGTGCCAAGCATAGAGACGCTTTGTGAGTGTTTAGTTAATAGTGTATGTGATTTTGCCTCAGAAAGCCCTTCTGTACTCAAAGATTGTGGATTTTAAATTTAGTGTTTTCGGTAGAGACTTAGCTATGGGCCTCATAGTTTGACTGACTAAAAAGTTATACTTTTCCGACGTTTCAAACTTGTTGTTAATTTCATCACAAAATCCGCTGTTACTTCTGCGAGAGAAGTTTACCGTCTGTTGCCAGCAATAAAGCTGTGATTGTTGAGCTTTAGCCAGTGACTTTCCACTGTTTTCCGTTCGACTTAGATGTCAAATTGTTAAGATGCACTTGAAAGTTATTTAGCCACGTTTAAGCAAATTCAGTCATATATATATTAAGATCGTATATCTGACTGCATTTGCCAAAACATGGCTATAGAAATCTCTCTCATATACCGTCTGACTGAGTCTTGTACTGTAACATGGTTTCTTTTCTTTTTGATAGTTATTTTTTATTTATTTATTTATTTTGTACCGAATATTTACTAAATAGGTTGCAGTAGAAAGACTTTGATGAGTTTCTCACTGACTATTAACCTACCATCCCTCCCAAAACGTTTTTTCATAACTTGCCATAATTCTCTTCGAATCAGCGCGCGTTTTAGACTGAAGTCGGCTTTCATAGTGGGTTGTCTTAGGCCCGGTTCGGACGCCGAACTTTTCATGAGCCGAACCTAATACATTGAATTAAGTACATGAAAAGTTCGGCGTCTGAATCAGTTAGGAACGCCTTTTTCAATTTGGAACGGCTCATATATAATATAGCGGTGGTTAGCTTGAAAGCTAAATAAGCTCCTCTGACCACCGTACACTT